AATAATTCAGTCTAGCTCTCATCCCAGTTGCGTAAAAACCCCTCTTTGACCCATTAAAATAGTAGCACGCAACAGTACCCTTGTAATTCTGGTCAAATATAAGCTAATTCTGGCTGAAACTATCATTTCTATATAGAATATCACCCATATAATACCCTCCTGCCGTACAGTGTCTCCCCGGGATCGGTATCAGATCCGAATCACATGACGAATCTGTTCCCTTTGTAAAACGGGAAGTCTACGAACAGTGCATGATCACGTGGCCTTCAAAAATCCACTCGCACGTGATCACGGAAAATTGACTAAAGATTATTTTATTGTTTGGATTAGGATTAGGGTTAGAGCTGAGGATAAGGTTATATGTAAAATTTTTTCCAGGATTTTTTCAAGCTAGATTTTGACATCTGTTTTCCATATTTTTCACATTTATTATTTTCTTGTGTCAAAGGCCACGCGATTCAGCACGTCCCGAAGCATTGTTCTGTTTGTAAAAAGTTATCTTCACGTGATTCCAAATCCTTATGTCGACCATCCGATATGCCTCTTAAAATTATACACCAATCAAATCGCAAGATCAATGTGCAACGTAAAAATGCTTATTTTTGAAAATAGTTTTATCTTGAAAATTTCTCTATAAACTAATGTTTCTTGAGAATTTTGCTATATCTAACCCAACTCTAAAAATAAACTTTAATTAATATTATAATTAACACATGCATGATTTTAAGGGGCATATCGGATGGATCAGAATTACGTGAAGGTGACTTTCTTCCCGGTACATCGCGACATGCTGCTGCGGTTACAAGATCACTAATAAGAAATAGTACACATTATATTTATATTATTATGACTTGGAATTAAAAAATAATAAAAGCGAACGAACATTTAAAAATTCGAATGACAAATAAATCATTTGACATTGTATATATGCATTATTACACTTTTCAAAGTGTCATATGCTGGTGGTGGTGTTGTTGAATTGATCGAATTCACTGGTGAACAACTCAATGCAACAGAGAGCAAAACCACAATTCTGACAACCAAATCAAGAAGTACCGCTATTAAGTAAAAGAATGCAGTTGTGCCTGGCAAGTCATCATTATAACAAAGATTTGCTCAACCCGCAATAATATCAGTGAATTCAATCAAAATGAGAACAATGAAGAGCATAATCCCATCGTAAACGTGGTTCATGATCATTTTGGAACTGAATACCCATTGCCAATATCATGTAGCAAGATCCATGTCAATGAAACAAAGAAGACCCAAAGAAACCTAAACCGAACAATAAATAACATTATGTTTAATAATTTATCATCAAACTACTTTCTTCAAACAAATTAAAGAAAAAATGACCTACACAGGTAAATAAATATCACAACTATTTAATCAAATGGACGGATACTCATCATGCCGAACATTTAATTTTTGTGTGTAAAAAGAATATATGTGACATAATAAGAATTCGAAAAAGAGACGCAGTTCAGAATCACTGGTCGAATAGGATTGTTTTCACCTTGGCAACATTCGATGGCAAAAATATTGGTTGATTTTTGTCAAAAAAATTGCAATTCCATACATATTTTACCCGTACTTTAGACCAGATAAAATTATGGTCAATTTACGGTCAATCTAAATTGCACGCCGAGTATTTTTTCTTAGTCACTTAGCCTAGGTTTGCTTAATAAAAACTCGAGTTATTGACGATTTGTCAATTTTGTTTTCTTTCATTTGGATCGGCGCTCTAAAATGATTGGTTATCAAGACTCTCACGTGAATTTCTTGTCCTCCGATTGGTTAGCATATTTTTTAGCACGGGTAAAAATAGATATGGAATTGCAACTTTTTGAAAAATTAACTCAAATTTTTGCCCTTGGATTCATCAGTATAAACCCCATAATTTTACATCGAATTTTGCCCAGGTGAAACAACCCTGTTCGACCAGTGAATTTTGATTGAAAACTCGGGCGCATTAAAAGTAAAACTTCATAATAATAAATCAAATATCAGGGACATACCATTATCACTGATTTTTTTGGGGGTGGGTATCTATTTAATAAAAAAATATCGTCTGATAAATGGCATGTCCCTAACTATAAATGAAGAATTAATTACATAATAATCAATCTGTTGCAGTTAATCGTTGCAAATACATGTACCAACCTTGTAAATATGAATTAAACTTGTTTCGCAAATTATTTTTAATATCTAAAACCGGTTTTATAATAAGAAAATTAAATCTGACCCAAACTCTAGTTCTTATGGTACCAAAAAGAAAATTTTTATTGAGAAAAATATAATCATAATCATAATCATACAATTTATGTTAAATCATAAAATCAGAAATTAAAAAAACGTGAGAATATTGTATCATAGATTTGCAGCAACTACGTAAAGAATGATAAATTATAAAAATTTAAATTATACTATTGTAATGAAGGAAAATTCAGATATTCCTTTGACTGGCAAAGAACGTGATTGGTCGTCTGATAGGTAATATGAAGGCAATTTAATAAAAAGAAATTCTTTTGATCGAAACAATGGAAAGCCAAGGCATAAACGGTTTTTCTATATTAATAAAGTTTTATTGTTAGAAAATGTAAAGGAAAATAAATTTCATATTTCATACAGTGGTAACAATTTAATTACCAAATAAGAAGTTCTGTTGTTAATATCAATAAAATTTTCATATTCCCAAGTGATTCCTGTGTTTAGTTCTTGTTTAGTATATCCAGTAAGCAAATTTTTGATATCACAAACCAACTAGGATAATTAAATGATATATAATAAATCGTGTGATTCAGATATACATTGCAAAAAAATAGAACTGTTTTCATAATACATGTAATATATTACCTTATCGTGAAGAGTCGCAGTACGAAACCACATCCATAAAATACTAATAGCTCCCATTGCCGCCATAAGATAAATAAAAAGCAAACGAGAAATCTTTTTTGATAATTCATGATCTTTTGGTCCATTGATTTTTTCATTATATTTATAACAAAGAAGATAGAAAGGTATCAGCAAGATGAGTCCTAAAATTGTAAATATATGCAGGATTAAAAATTTCTTGAGGGTTGGTTTGCGGTGTTCTTGCCACAGTTCGTTGAATTTTTGTACGCGATTTTCATACACGTCTTTCTGCATCTGTTAAGAAATAATGTTGCATAAGCTACATGGTTGTGTTTGAATCAAATAAAATGTTTATTGAATTGTAATTACAAAATTTATGAGCTCATCTGGTAATTCTTTATCTTTTATCCCTTGAGAGTTGATAGAAATACGTAATTCAGTACGTGATAACATTTTAATTAATACTTTCGTTTTTTTGTATGTAATTAATTATCAATTCGATAATTTCAGTACATGTATTTATTACTTTTTTTTGTTAAACATATATGCATTATGTATGCATCTCATATCTATCAATATTGAAGCTATAGTAGAAAAATTTTGCACCGTGTTATTTAAAAATAGCCAGACACTTTAACCAGAATTTTAACTTTGCCTTTAAAAAGAATTTCTATGGTGGAAACACTTAGGCTCTATTTATAGGCCGACTTATATGGCCTTGCCTTGAACAATTGCATTGTCCACATCATTGAATTCTGTGAAATCATTATGCAACCATTCCTAGATCCCAAAAATCTCGGGGACTCATACTTTTTCAAGCATTCTTGCTGTGTAGGCGTTTATGTTCTATTTATAGACAAAATGATATGAAGTTGCTTAGATATGCCAATAAATTGCATATTAAAAACCATTTTTTATGCCTTGAATTATAACAAATATAAACTAAATAAATTATTAAGCTTACGGTGATTGTTTTCAAATTAATAATGCCAATTGATTCGATCTTTTGGTTGAATAAAGCAAACTTGAATTTGGTAAGCCAACTTTTGGCTTTACTTTTACACCGATAATTTTTGACAATATACACTTCAATTACGTAACTTCAATTACGCAACTTTAATTGAAACCATCGTGTGTGGAAATTTATTTCATAACGGGAAGGGGAATACATGTACATGATCTAGTCAATGATATTAACTTATTTGGATCTAATTGAAAAACCAGTCTTTTCTATCAGAAATTCCTATTTCGCGTGTAATTTACCGATCTGCGCATGCTGCATGAGGCAAAAGTGTATTAAAGAAAACCATAGAGATATCGGTAATTATTATTCACGTTTATTGCACGAACTTTCCTAACTGCATTGGGAAATCAAAAAAATAATGACTGGATCCGTAAGACAACTTTAGTCGTTGATATCTTACCAGCCTGTGGTTGGATTTCCACGATCATAGGGTGGCGATATCGATCTCTAAACTGATGTAAAATAATGCCTGGGTCTGTATGGGTAACAACACCCAGTATCCTCCCTATAAAAACATAATCAGGTAAAAATACAGTTTTTTAGTTCCGGAAAACCACAGGTTTTAGTTATAAAATTTTCGAATTAAAATCTGATCAAAAAATCGGAGAAAATAAAAATTTATCCGGTAAATTTGGTGCATGATATCTCACAATTCACTGATCCAATCTAGACAAAAAAACACATCACTCGATTCATCAAATCTAGACGAATCGAATGGTGACATAATTGTCCGAATTGGACCTGTAAATATGAGATATCATGTCCTAAAGTCACTGGACAAATTTTTTTATTTTTAATAATGGATTAATGTCTCATGACTCACTAAACTAAATTAGATAAAAATAAAGCCACATATTTACTGAGATTTAGTGGAATAGTGGCTGAATTTTGGTGGAATTTGGCCTGGTGGACCATAAGATATCATGCTTCAAATTAAGCGTTCCAAATTAAAATATGTTTTTCCAAATATCAAAACTAATTCAGCAACTTTGAAACATAATATCTTATAAGTTACCAGACCTTTTTTGTAAAAATTACTGCCATTGAATTCACCAAAGCTAGGCGAATTTAATGATGACGTATTTGGAAATAATGCATTTATTTTAATTTTGAGCAAAAAAATTGATCATGATAACCAGATTTTTGCTTGCTTAATTTTTTTACAGTGCTAGCCATGGCAAAAAAATTTATTTGATCATGTGATTTCAATACTGATGCCCACTTGAGACTAATCATCCGACATTTCCTTAATTTTAATGCATTAAGTTTCAGTTAGAATTAAGATTAGGGTTAAGAATATTATATTGCATACAGCAAATAGGAATGTAATTTATAGTAAAATTTCGCAAGGAACATTTTTGGCAGTAACTGATCAATTTAGTAATCATTGATTAATCATTTTTTAATGTTTTCTTTTAATTTTTCAAACTTTGACTTTTCATATATTTAACTTATAATGAGTAATAATGAAATTTTTGAAGAGAATTATGACAACCAACCATAGGAAAATGCAAGTGATATGATAAGTAATAGCAATAAACCGGGAAATGCTAAAGCAAGGTAGTGGATTATAATGCAATCTGTATCTAATTCAATCTGAACCACATGATCTTCATAAATGTAGCAGATTATTATTTTTTTTGTTTACAAGGTTTGAATTATCATTTTTATTTTTGTTTTGTTTACAAGACAATTTTACAAGATGATTTTTGTTTGGAGGAAAGGGAAAAGAAGTTATGCTATACATAAATATATACTAAAGCTCTGTTCGGGTTGGGTCAGTTCGGATTTGAGGTCAATCCGAACTGATAATTTCGGGTCAGATCAGATTCAGATCAGGTTTGATTCAAAAATCGTAAAATAGTTTTTCGTTAATAACTTTTACTAAGAAGTTTGTTCTGAATGTAATTGTGTATATACCCATAAATTTTCATTTAATTCTGATTAATATTGAATGAGAAATAACGTTTTTTAGGCTGACCTGAAATATTTCGGGTCAGGTTTGATCCCAATCCGACCTGATCTGAAATGTGTGTTCCGGGTCAGGTCACGAATTGAACCTGATCCGATTGAAACACTAATATATACTATAAAAATATTTTTGTATTATTTTCACTACATACATTACATATACTACATTACATTACATATTACAATTTGCATTATGCATTATATACATTATGCACTATACACAAGAAACATTTTGTTATTATATTATAAAAACTATAATTTTATTGCAAAATACAGCAAGTAATAACAAATAATAAAAAACACACTTGTTTTTTTAATATTAATAAAATACTTGTAATTTCAGAAAAAGAATTTAATGAGCTATAACTGCTTGTTTTAAATATCTGGATATAATATAATAGTTAAAGATAGATTAATAATGATTTATAAATTATATATACTTGTAATTTTATTAAATACTATAAATTAAGTATATGAAAGAAAGGAATACTAACAGAAAAATAAAGAAAAACAAGTATATATATTGCTAACCAGTATGATGCAAAAAAAATAAAGATTACACTTATTGCTATAATACAAATAATCTAAATTGAATATTACAAAAATGTCCCTGATTATATACATCAAATCAATAATAATAACCAATTAAAAAGTTCTAAAATCATTAAATAACTAGTAACTAATAAAGCAAATAAATTATACACATCACCAACAATCATTATTATTGCAAAAAAGCTTGCAAATAAAAATAATCTTGATGTTATTACTCAAAATTTGTATCAAATATTCAATAAAAGTTATATAAACTATTAAAGACTTATCTCATCAGTGAGTTTAACTTAAAATCTAATATTCAAAATACTCTCAAGTTTCTTATTTGCAATAACTATCATATCAAGTACTTTATATATATACAAAAAATTCTAATATTGTAAAATAATTATTAAAAATTTTAGCTTTGCAAAATTTAAACAATTAGAAAAACTATAACTTCATAAATAACTAATATTAATAGATTCTATATATAATACAAATAAATATTTATGATACTTATTCATATTATATATTTATAATAGTTCTAGATATTGATATTCATTTTTTCATAAGTAATAAAAATAGTAATATAATAATAAAAGTATTAAAAAAATTTGTGAGTTTACACTTAGTTAATATTCTCAATATATTATTACAAGTTTATTTATTAATCATTAAATTAGCTTACAAACTTGAATCTGAATTGAAAGAGAGTAATAAACTAATAAAAATATTAAAATAAAAAGAGAAATATATAAGATCTATGCCAATTTTTACAAAAATTGTATTTACTTAAAAAGAAATAATAATATAAAAAAGTTGTGAAAGAGTAAAAATCAAAGAGAAATAAAAAAGTATTTATTTAAAATTTTAAAATCTCTAATATTTTTTAAAAATAATTTGATAACTGATTACTTTGTAAAATAAAGTAATTTAAATCAAAATTTATAATTAATAAATTTATTATATTGAAAAACATTTTTTCTATAATGAATTCAAATTTGAATTACTAATTAAAAATATTATTACAATTATATTATAAAATTTGTTAATTCTATAATTTGTTAATTCTATAATTTGTAAAATTTTACAAAATTATGAAAATTATATAAAGAACTTAGAAAATTTCACTATTTTATTATATATTATATTTATATATTTTTATTTTTCTATCTTGTACTTCTATACATTTATACTTTTTTTACTTTGTACTCTTAGATTTTTTATATTTTTTATACTTTTATATATTTATACTTTTATATTTTTTTATACTTTTTGTACTTTTTCTATTTTGTACTTATATACTTTTATACTTATTTATTCTAAGTAGATATAATTTAACCAATTAAAATTCTTTGAAATTTATACTTTTTCTCTTTTATTTCTCTGCTTTTCATATTTATTAAATTAAAATTCTATTTTTAGTTAATATAATTATCTTTTATATTTTTTTCTTGTTTTTAATATTATATTTGTATTTCAAAGAAAATATATAAATATGAGTTGTAGTTGAGCTTTAACTCAACATATCAGAACT